GGGGGATCGCTGAGGCCACCAGCCTGGCCTCTTCAAGAATAGAATGAAAAAAGAGACATTAAACAAAAAGTGGGGGGAATGTTCTAGATTTTAAAAAGAGACACAACCACCAAATGTGATGTTTGTAAACTCTGATCGGATACTGGAATTCTAAAATTTTTTAATAACCACAAAAGGCACATGGGAACAATTGGGGAAATTTAAGTATAGACTGTACATTAGATGAGCAAACGTCCCCTTTCTCAGGTATGCTAACATGTCGCACTTACTCACCTGGGGGAATGTTCGCATTCTTGGGAGATGGCTGCTGCAGTACTTAGGGGTGACTGTCATGACGACTGTGCCTTATTCCAAACGGCTCAGGAAACGGAGTGAGACAGAACAAAGGAAGTCATAGCATGGCAGAATGTTCACAACCAAAGCAAAGGACTACACACGTTCACTGAACCCTTCTTTCATCTTTTCTGTAAATTTGAGAATTTTCCAAATAAAACCTTGGGGAAACCCAATAGCTCTGATGCTTCAGAGCTCCACAGAAGAAAAATCTTGAAAAATCCTCCCTTGGCAAGGGTTTTGCAAATGCCTCGTTCGCAATGCATGAAAGAAGAGAGTTGCTTTGGCAGGAGGGCCACGGTGCCCAGGTACAAGATGACACCCGGGTCTCCAGGGTGGACAACAGGTAGTGACCATGCTGCCATTTGCTGGGGTAGCAAGCACGGCAGAAGGAGCCAGTTCTGGAGGGAAAAGTGGAGGGAAAACATTCAATTCAGGCGCCCAGAGGCTCCCAAAGCCCACGCCAGCCCTGGGTTATGAGCCCGATGCAGAAGACGCACCACAGAGTGTCAGATAGACGTAGGGAGCACAGGGGGCGACGCCAGAGGAAAGGGGAGCCACGAAGGAGCCTGGAAAGAGACAGCCAGAGTGTGGGTGCCTACGTGACAGCACCGAGTCGGCGCAAGGCATGAGGGTAGAGTCGAGATGGGGGCCGCCTGACGTCAAAGCAAGTCCAAGAACCAAGAGATAAGAGATCAAAGGCTCTCAAAGCAAGCCCAGGCCAAATCTTAAAAGCAGGAGATAAAGGATAATCTTCATACCAAGTACACTTATCATTGGGAAGCCCATGATCGACGACTTTGGAGATGTGAGGGCACAGCTAGGGGAAGGGAGAGAGAAGAAACGGCGTCCATCCCACCAGGCCTAAGGATGCATCACTGAGCTGGCCGCTGTCGCCAGCGGGAGAAACGGAACGACTTCATCAGCATTTTTTTCGTCTGCCGTCCAGCTGCCTGGAGTCACACAGACCTGGGAAGGCAGGAAATAACCTTTCGGGCTCGTCTCCTCCAGTTACAGGGCACTGACCGCTGCAACCGGGAAAGCTGAGAGTTTTTCATCATCTAACACATTTGCGAAATTCATTGGCTTTAACAAATTGTTCCCCGAACACCTGGCCTGGGCGTTCTCCTCTAACCGGCATGTGCTATATCATGTTCAGAAAGTGCTCCTAAGCTCTCACTTGCCTTGAGAAATATCCATCAGCTGTCAGAAAAGCTAAAACCCATCTTGGCTCTGGTGAAACGTTCGCTTCAGGGAAACACACAAGCCAATTTGGTCAGATTTAATAAGTTTTAACAAAATCCAGGTGAAGAAATCTATCTGGAAAAAGCTGAAGAATCTTACAAGCAGCTCCGAGAAATGATTCTCTTGGGG